CACAGTGGTGTGCCCTGTCAATAACCACCGATGAGTTATGTCGCAAGCCCTTTTACTTTCTTTTCTCAGCGACGATCGGGTATACGAAAGATGCGCCAAGTAGAAGCATTAATGATCTGGCCCCGTCCGCTGGCCATGTGAAATTTTTGCTTAAAATGTATAATTTTTTACCATAAATCGGGGCGTAACAAAAACTGGTTGGGATGTACATCAGATACCATAGTAATGACTTAATAATTGAGTGGTCTGAGAAACAGCCAACGAGGAAGTCATTTTATTTGTTTAGAAATTATTAAAAGTATTGCAAGAGTTCGAGAATCGCGAAGAGGGAGATCGAGATTTATATACATAGAGAGTGGGAAAGAGATACAGACTTTTACTGACTTACAAATATGTATTGAACAAAATTCATTAAGAAATGTATTCGTATTCAGAGTAAGACAAGACAGATACATATAAACTTTCTTTGTCTTCTATATAATATATATGTATATTTATAATTATGTTATTTTAGTTTTCTGTGGAAAATATGTTTATAAATTTCTCAATATAATTTCAATCTGTTGTCGAGTTTTAAATATAGCATAAAATATATTCGTGCATCGAAAATTCTATTTCTCAAATAGCCAGAATAAAAATGTTCTTTCTGAATCTGAAACTCGCTTAACATCAATTGGACTTTTATGCGAGGCCTATCTTATTTTTGGCATCCTTTGTATGATTTATTCATAGACAAACTTATGTCTCCAAATTGTTTCTAAACTATCTCATACTCTCTCACCCTCTCAGTCTGTCCAAACTATTTCTATTGCATATTGGCCTGGACATTGTCCTTAACCTTTTGTCCAGCTGTTGAGTTGCCTTTTATGGCTTGCACAATTTTCCAATGTTGTTTGCCAAGAGTTTGCAGAGAAAAACGTGCCAGACCAGATTGCTGCCGTCTGTCTTTGACTATTGACATAAGTTGGCTGTGGCAACGACAAAGACAAAGACACAGGCAACGGCAACGGCAACGGCCTGCGATTACAGCAACAAGAAACAAGGCAACAACCCATTGCAAACTTTTTGGTAAACAAGAAAAACACAACACACAATACACAAAACAACAAAACAAAAAGCATTTTCCAGCCACATCATCATCTTCCTTTTGTCCGCGAACAGGAACTGGTCACAGTTGAAGACCAAGTCGAAGTTGGAAGTCAACGGCTGACGCCGTCTGCAGTTTCTTTTATGTGATTTTGCTTTTTGCTTTTGTATTTGGTATTTCTTAATTTTAAGCCTTATTTTGTACATGCATATACAAATATATATATATGTATATATATATTCATATGTATGCATATAAAATGTTGCTGTATATTGACTCACGTAGCGTTTGCAGTTGCTTTTTTGTGTCGTGTAAACAGAAATTGCCACCGACTATCAGACAGCCAACAACGAACAACTAACAACTGTTGGAGACATTGCAACAATCCGCGCAACATCTGTTGCCCATCATCTGAGCAGTGTCCAACATGCCCAGCACCCAATTTGGATCGCCATGTTTCTGGGGGCTCTATTTTGTGGCTTTTATCGTCCCAATTTTTGGCTTTTGTTTTCATCTCTTGGAATTTTATATTTTCGATTTTTAATACATATTTATTGAATCTTCTATATCAAATATTTGGCTTTCACTTTCGTCGATGGCGATCGATTTTAAGATGCATGAATTAATTATGAAATAGTTGTGAGAAATATTAAAGTAGCTATGGCAAGAGAGTTGAGTTATGTCAAGCCTTAATAAAGGAAAATCTATACAACCTGTAGTTGATAGTGTCATAAATATTTGTAATAGTTACTCTCAGCAGAATCTCTATATTTGCTAAATGACAAGCAGTTTGTGAACACCATGTCGCAACATGATTTCGCATCTATAATTTCAATGTGAGTCTAAAATATTTGGGTCTATGTCAACTGTATCCGATTAGGATTGTAATAGGCTTATGAGCTTCACTTTTAATTTGGCAACCTATAATAACAAGCAAGCATTTCAGAAGCGCTGCCTAAATATACTTATCGTATTTATGTATCTTTGTATATTTAAGATACTTGTGTGACAGCCCTTCAACCTGTTTATTGTTGCCGCAGCAGCCGCAGCCACTCGCACTTTATTGTACGAATTTCAAGTTGTAATTTCTTTTCATTTTATATATATTTTTTTTCTTTCGAGTTGTTCTTGTTGTTTATTATTTTTTTGCGCGTATTTTTGTTGAAGGGGCCCGTCGTTCTAGCAGGTTTTTGTTTCGTTTCGTTTTGGTTCGTTGTTGTTGACATGGAAAGTGGGTCAATCGAGAGATCTTTATAAATATTTTGGTTGCATATTTATCTGAAAGATTCATTTTGTGGTGTGACAAACTGTTAATGGATTTATGTTGAAAAATGAAAGTTGCTTGACAACCACACTTGCAGCACATCTCAAACTGTAACAGGATGACACGAGCTAACACACTCATGAGCCCAGCGATTTATATGGCTTATTGTGTCTGTCGGATTTGGCACTTAAAGCTCGTTAACTGGTGCTGCTACACTAAATTAAATGGAATCAAATCGAATATGACTCGACTCAAATGGGATTACATTGTATCGAAATGTGGAGCCTACGAAACAAATAAAGTAATTGGGCGCTAATCACACGCAGAGCCAATTACACAGTCCTACCCCTCCTCTCACCACTCTCTCTCTCCCTCTCTCTCTCTCTCTCTGTCTCTCTCTTTCTCTGATCTGTTTGTGCCACCCTTTTTGAACACTTAGTGTTTGCTGTGATGTTGTTTGGTTTTACTTTGAACTCGATTCGTGTTTAGTTGTACGGGCCCAAAACTGATTGCGCTGCTGCTGCTGTGCGCTAGTTGAGAATCAAATCGAATTTCAATTTCAATTGAAAACGTTTGGCGCACGTGGAAAAGTGAATGAAATTGTGGCGCTGATGAAGCGCTTGATTGGACAGCGCCAAGTTAATGGGGCTGCAGCCAAAGTGTTGGTCAGGAAGTGCTGCTTAGCCAAACAAATTGAAATTGCAATTGGCTATTCCAATTGCTATGACATAAGCCCTATTATGAAATGCAAGCGTAAATTGTGAACTAAGAACTAATTTAATGTAATAATGATCTCGAATAGAGTCAACGATCAATAGTCAAATATATTGCAATAAAGATAGAAGTTAATCTGAAATCAAGTCAACGATCAATATTGAAAGGAACTTAAGCTCCATTTTCTGTGAAGGTATTTATCATTAAAAAATAAATTAAAATAATCATAGTCTATTGGATTTCATGAAAGTGGTCAGTATACTTTGCTAAAAACCATTAAAAATGTTAATCAATATTAAATAAATGTCGATTCTCACAAACAAAATCAAAAATTGTGTTTTGCCTTTAAAACTTTAAGCGTTACTCAGACAAAGATAATCCTCGCACAATTATACGAAATATCTGTTTTGTTAGTCACAATAATATAAAAACGGCGTTTTGTCAAAACATTATCGAAATGCGCTTATGTAACAAACGTCTCAACAAAAGTGTTGGGAAAAAATACCAATTATAAACATTAGTATATCCGCAAATCAAAGCCAGCTCCAAGAAAACAACAGTACAAAGCGAAAAAGACATCCAAATTGGAAATATCATAAATTGTTGCGGCTGTTGCCAAGTTTGGCTGCGGCCATGAAAGTGAAAACTAACTATAACAACGGATGCCACAAATGCCACATTGACCAACAATCAAAACATAACAATAGCAGCAACAACAACAACAACGGCAGCAAAGGCAGCAACAAGGGATAATCTGGTCATATCAGCGACCGCTGGGTCTTGGCCCATACAGATTTTTGTATACAACATATATGGCTAATAGCTCTCATTTATGTTGAGACCCGTAATTTGTTAATGGGATACACACATATATATATTTATATACATGTATATATATTGCGAAAAATGTATTTCGATTACAGATTGGAAGTGACCTAACAGCTTGCTGATAGTTTGAGAACTGTGAATATGCAGTCGACTTGCAGTTTCTTTTGCTCATCCGTAGATCTTCTTTTTTTGTTGTTGTTTCTTTTGAGTTCATATTGACCATTTCAAGCGAACAGGTTTATTATCTGCCACAGTTGTTGTTGCTGCTTTTGCGGCTTTAAGCGTTGTCATGACTTTACGGCTTTTACTCTCCGTTTCCTTTGCATCTTCATTAAACAAAGCTCCAAAAAATAAATATATATATGCATATACAATATATATATATATATATAAAAGGGAAAGTTCATTGAGGTGCCTCAGTTGCATATTTGTACAATTAATATGAAAATGCTTATGAAAATATTTTGAATAATTGAATGTTTAAGCAGGAGACCAGGCTAGATTATAGTATTTCTTATGCAAGACTCAGTTGCTTGAAAATTTGTGGAATTTTATTTGATGGGTTCGGGTATAGATGAGACATCCGACTACCATATGTATCTTCAAATATTATCTAGTATTTTCAAATAATTGTTGCAAGCTTGTATTTTATACAGCAACTTTCTTCGAGCGTTTAGAAATGGTGTCAATTCGCATTTGTGGTCTAAAATTGAAATGGGTTAAAATAAAAATTCACAACTAGATTCAACAACAAATATTTGCATAACATTCAATGGAAATGCAAATTGAGTGATCAATTTTTGTTTTCTTTCATAAGTCTTTGGCACAAATTTGGGTTATGTTTTGTGACTAAGCCTTTTGTATACATTGTCTGTGAATATCTGGAACACCTGATTTAACTTTAACTTGGTCTTATTTTTTTTTTTTTGAAAGAGAGGTAATGATTTACAATATACAAATAAAATGAATAAAAAAAGACTATCGATAATTCTTTATATTTTTAATATATCATTTATTATTATATGCATTCAGTTACAGAAAAAATGAAGTTAACTTTTTCTAAATAGTTTCAGTTGGTTTATTGATATGGATAAATGTTAAACTTACGCCGTTATGTATTCCTGCATTGGGTGGAATAAATCCCTGCGCATTTGCCGAGACCAGCCATAAGCACAGAGTGCCCCAAAGTGCCAACAAAATTCGCATGATTCACACAAAGCCCAATTCAATATTTATTTAGGTTATTATTCTCTAGTTATAGCAACAATATGCAATTGTTATATAAATTATTTATTTTATTTTTATATTGTTGCACTATATATATATAATTTTTTTTTATTATTAAAAACAAAACACGTCAGAAACGTAGCGAATGGAAATTCAAAAATTCCCAATTGGCGCGCGAGAAATGTCAAAAATGCGAGAAACACTCAGCTGGAATAAACTTTTGCTAGCGCGTTTTCTATTTGCCTTATGCAAATGATGCAGTTCGTTTTGTTTTCTTCTTTTTTTGTTGTTGTTTTTTTTTTTTGTTTTTTGTTGTGTTTTTTACTCTTTAATTTACTTAGTATTCCGTTAGCGTTGGCTGTTGGTGCCGCGGTGTCGAGTGGTAGCCGCAGACACGACTTGTCCGGTAAAAGTTCGATGCTTAACTGAAGATCATTAAGCGTTTGGTAACAATTTAAGCCAAGCTAGCGACGAAGATGCCAAAAAATGCGAAGCCGATGCGACGCTAGCGATGAGCCAGCAACATGTTGCCAGCAACATGGCTTGTCAACATGTGCAGCAGCAACATTTAGCAAGCGCTGAGAGCGCTGTCAACCGTCAAGAGAAAGCATAAGAGTGCGCTTAAGCGAGTGAAAGAGAAAGTGTTGCCAACAATTTGTTAGACGTGCAACATTTCGTCATATTGTGCGGCGCTCTAAGCCATTTCTTGTTAGCTCTTTGATTAACTGACCGTCTTTATCAAACCAGAAATGTCTGTGCCAGCCAAATATGATGCCATCGACAGTGATTTCGATATCATTCGCTGATCACGTAATTTCCTCAAGCTGGCATTCTCGGAAATGCAGATAAGAATGCAAATTGAAGGCGTACGAATTGCATGAATCAAAACAATAAATATCTGTTAATAGCTTCCGAAAATACACCCATATATGTATGCAGACATCATCATCATCATTATAATTGACTGACGTGTGTCAAATCGCTGTGCCAGCAACAACAAAACAATCTGAACAACACATTAAAATTGCATTCCATGCACAGTGCGATAGTCAATACGAACAAACAATTTGTCTGCCTCATTTAAAGTGATTCACTTCTTTTTTTTCGGATAACTATAATTATCAAAGTAGATGATTAATGTGGGCTACCCGTTGTCTGCCGGAATTATGCATGCTCAATATGGGAAGCAGCTCAAATCCCGCTGTGATCATATATGAGGCGCTCCACTGATCAACATATTACGCACTCACCTACATCACACCCGAAACGAAGTGGATCATTTGATGAATAATGGTTGCAGGTTGACTTGTTTTTGTTTTGATTGTTTTTTCGTCTCTTGTTTAAGGGCACAGCATGCTTTGATCAAGTAATCGGAAATAATTGATGTTTAGCATTGATTAGGGATTAGAGCGGGAGGTCATTGAAAATGCAAGGTTGCAGAGAAAGTAAAATTTGTTTAATGGAATTGTAATCATACAGATAAAAGAGGAGGAAAATCCGGACTTAATATATATACACAATATCCAATATCCCCACGCAGCACAGATTACTTTATATATTGATCTGCTTACCTGTTTTTGGCAATTTCCTTTGGGAAAACCGTTCAAGTGGTAAATAGGGCAATTGATTTCCTCTTGTGCAACAGTTGGTTAGCCAGTTAGCTGGCAATCTTGGGCCCTTATCAAAACGTAACCTCGGCCAATCAACAAATTATGGCATTTTCAGCTTTCCAGCAATTAAAGCAGCAATTTGCTGTCGGTGGCTACAAAAATTCGGCAACGCGACTAATCGACAGATGCATCATTTCAAATACACAGTGACTTCAACGCCAGCTTTCATTAATAAATTTTCACTTTCAACAACAACACACACACACACATACGCCTGAAATATGCAAGCGAATGGCCCATTAAGTCGATGCCCAATGCAATTCTAGAGAAGGTACAAACTGCAATCCAAAGCAGAAATCCGCCTCGACTCGACTCGCGTTGCATAAGCAGCTTATCAGGTTTCCTCTGGCAAAGAAAGGCAGACGGACAGACTGTAGACCCTGAACTATAGTCTATAGGCTATAGATAGACAATGATAATGTCTATGCTGATTTGACTGATTTGCTGAGCGTCGATGATGCCGCAGGTTGTCTCAAGTCTAATGACTTGAACTGCAGCTTCTTCTTTTGTATCCGTTTGATGCTTAAATTTAATTTGATGGCTATTTTTTGTTTGGCTATCGGTTGGAAAGAAAAGCGTCGATGACTTCCAAAAATATCTATTGAAAATATAAAAAATAAAAAAAGCAGAAGTATTTTCACCTGTTTGTCTGGGGCTCACACATAAATAACGTGAACGTTGATTAAATTGCTGGGATCAGGCATTGAACAACTGAAAAATCACAGAGTCCATTCAAGAAGATTCCCCATTTGTCTCTAGTGTTTGTAATGTGGCATGAATTTCTGTTTGCTTTGTTTGTTTACATTGTAAATATCTAAGTAGTTTCTCACACAAAAGATTATACAAAGATTATTGCTTTATTTACGACAATAAGAAATGAAAATATATTGAAAAGTCGATTTGAAAAGTTATATTTTTTTCTAAAGCTCTGATGGAACAGCCGCCTTTCAGTACTCTGACATATAAAAGGGATATTATTTAATTTTACAATTTATTTCAACTAACTCATTACTTTATGGATGTTGATAGATTCAAGCTCTGGTAGGGCTGGCAAACCACTCGAAACTCTTCAAGGAGTTGACAGCTCATTTTAAAAGTCACAGCCCTTTTGGCCATTTAACGATCAATTGCAGTTTTTGACAAGAGCTTACATTTTCTGATTTATTAAACAGCCTTTATGATTGCCCATAAGTTAGTATAGGCCTCACCTAAAAAAATCCATCCTGACGGTAGGCAAAAGGTTTCACAAGTTTATATTCACAGGTAAGCCTGTCATCATATCCGAAACAACCATATTGACCTCTCTGAGACGTGACAGTTAAGAGTTTGCAATTCAGTTTTATGTTGCAGATATAAAATATAACTTTGGTTTTTGCACACCGCACCTTTAAATGAGTCATGAGTTGGACAGATCACATTATGTACATATAAGATAAAAATGATATAATAGCATTACGTTTTTGTACTTGAGCTTAACTATTATTTATACTAATTTGTTTCTTCAAGTGTGGGAAGCGGCTGATACAGGCCAATTTAGAATACTTAATGTTGGTATACGTTAAAATTTTGCCAAAGACTTTAAAGATGGTTAAATGAACGACGCAATATTTGTGCAAGAGATTACCAAAAGACCGAAGCAAACTCACATAAAAAAACAACAGAAATCAAAACGGCGGCAAAACAAAAACAAGACTAAATACTGTACAAATAGCAACAACACAAAAGCTTGAGGGAGAAAGACTTTCACCTTTGAGATGAACAAGAAAAAAAAGCGTAGCTGACGAAGGCATCGAAAAAAATTAAGCGTCACTGCAGAAGCGACGGCCTTCGAATTGCCATATGGAACCGAATCCGAACCCGAACCGCAAACCAAACCGAGTTGAGGCGAGTCAAGTCGAACCCGACTTGGCCCCAGCAACAAGTGCCGATCATGAAGATCATCAAGGCAGAAGCTGAACCTGAAGCTGAAGCTGAACAGATGCTGTGGCTATAAACGATGGAGACAGCGCTGCTTGCGTCAATAAACCTTCGACTCAATGAGTCTTACGCGTCTGCTTATCACTCGAAGCGCTCAATGGGAATACAGTTTTGTTGTTGGCTTCGTTGTGGATCAACGATCGCCACGGCGGCAACAGCTTTTACTTTCCATTCAAGAATGGGGCCCGTTTTCAATACACTCGCTAGGCGTATTGGAATTAAGTAATTTATATGAGTGGGCTAGTACTTAGAATTGTCGCTTTCCCGCAAGTATCTCTGACGATGAACTTCCCCCACGCAGCACTTCTCAAGAGCGTCATATACGAAAAGTGAAAACAATATCTAAATATTTGGACCTGCCAACAATCTAAAGTGAAGAATTATATCCACAGTCAGTACAGTTGCCCTTCTTATTCAAACTACAACTTTATTCAGTTAATTGCCCAATTAAAAGCTATTAATAAAGTAAACATTTTAATCAAATTATCTCCCAAGAGCTGACACACGTGCGAGATTATTACTTAAACACAAACTCGAATGCCCAAAGCAAAATATAAAAATCTCATTCAAAATCCAAATATCTCAATAATTTGCACATGTTGATATTGCATAATTCCTGCAACTACCAACAAAAAAAATTAGTAACCAAAACTAAATTATCAAATCGATGCCCTACGGACATTGCAAATGGTGTCAACGTTGTGATCATTAATTGATGCGCATCAAGTTGTAGCTTAATGTTGATCGTAAATAATGAAATTTGTGATAAACATAAACGTTTCCAGTTGAAAGTGGAAGATAATTTGTTTGATGGAGAGATTAATACACATTTTATGCAATGTAATAAGACCAAAACAGTCAGTTCAATCTATAACCTTGGCTAACATCCCTTTTAAGTTTAAATTGTAAAGAAAATCTGCCAGCTTCATTATATTTCAATTATGCTTTAAATTATGCAATGTTTTCTTTTCTTATCTTTGGAGCGACGATCGTCTTAACCCTTAGGTATGTCATTAAGATGTCTGGCAATTTGTTTTCTTAGTTTTCTTCAAAGTTTAAGGTAAGGCTAACGGAGCTTAAGTAGTATCAAAAATGTCGATTCTTAATTGGTTGTCTATTTTCGCTTCTGTTTAATCATTAAATTATATAGATTGATTTACATAGCCTTTGGACTACTGACTGCCTTTGCGCTGTTTATGAAAACGAGGGCTAATAACTAGCCAAATTCTTGTAGCTTCCGAGAATTGACTAATATTTGTGCTTGTAATTTCGACTCATTTCTATTCGCCCCACGGTGACTTTTTTCCAAATGTTTGGTTCTTAAATTATCCCACAAACCTTGCTTGCAGATCGAATGCAGTTTGACCGAGCTATTGGGTTTTTTTATAGTCGCCTACGTGCCGCTAAAAGTATGCTATACATTTTTACTGTGGGAAATGTAGCCAATGCAGCAACCTAATATTTATCGCTGGTGCATGAACATGCTAAGCTGCGAAGAGAACGTGGCAGTTGAATAAAACTGAATCGTCAACCCCTAAAAAAAATGGAAATGAAAAAAACTATTTCGAATTGTTGAGTACATAGTTTTAAATTTATTTTTCAATTATTGTAATTGTATTGATTACATGTTGTTGTTTTCTTTGTGGTTTCTATACCATTAAATATGATTCATTAATTTAAAATTGATATATTTTAATAATTAAAAGTAGTTTTTGCTTTTGTTTTTTTTTTTGTTTTTAATTTAATACTAAACTTTAAATTCGAAACTCACTTTGTAAATTAAGCTTTGCATATATATATATTTTTTTTTACTTTCTTTAATTGAATCAAAAGGCATAATACATAAAAGAAAAAAATTAAATGGTAGTAGTTAGAAGCGGCAGAAAAATTCATATATAAATATATGTATAATAATTTAAATAATACATAAAATAGGCGAATTTAATGTGTATATATGCTAATGTGTGTATATTTATAAACGTTCGACATTATCAAAGTCATGAGCAAAAGTTGCATTTGTTTACAGTGATATCTAAACTTACATTACCAATTTTGTTCACATGACAGTCTAGGCTCAGACACAGAGGGGAAGTTAGAAGGAAACCAAAAGTGGTTGGGGCAAGGATTACTCTGTTCCTTGCTGCTAACATTTATCGTTAAACTGTGTGTGTGTGTGTGTGTGTGTGTGTGTGTGTGTGTGTGTACAGTGTACAAACTTTGATTATAGTAAAATTGTATTTGTTTTCTTTTTGTTTTGTTTTCCATTAATACGATTTACATAGAATTAGTTAAAGTTTCTTTCTTATATATGGTTTGTGTTGTATTGGCCATAAATTGTTGTTTATTTGCACAAAAGTTATTGTAGGCAATAATTACGTAGTAAATATATATATGTAGTTCATTAAATATGTATACTCTTTAGATTATGACATGTTTCCTGCACTATGTATAAGTGTTTTGGGCATATTCAATTTCAGGGCTGTTTTGGAAATCGATTTTAATGCTATTTTGAAGATTTCTCATTTTTAAATCCATGCAAATTGAATCGAAATTGAAATCCAGATTTATCCCGTTTATTTTATACTCACATGCAAAATACAAACTTACAATTAACTTGTTCAAACTTGTCGCTCAATTGGGCTAGAATGTTTCAGTTTGGTTTTAGGCCATAAAGGTTACTAGGGTTGTTCTGATTGATAATTTGGTGGGTCTACGAGTTCCCTAGCAAATGTTCTTTAATAATGTTCTTTAATACGAGTAAGTTATATACTCTGAATAGATCTCGAGTCTAGGCATCTGAAACACTCTAGCCTAGATCAAAACTTATTATTTATATGTATTTGTATAGCTACATTTTTGCATATGCAACTAATAACAGCCTTGATACTGTTGCAAAAAAGACATGGAAGCTGTATGAAATTGTTACAGATATTTTGATTCGATACAATATATCGTTGAATTCCTTAGATATCTATATGCATACTATATATATATATATAACTATGTTATGTTGTTCCATTTTGAGCTGGGGGATTTTTTTTTTTCTTGTTTTTTGTCTATCATTTATCATTAGTTCGTGTTGAATACAGTTTTGCATATATCATGAAGTAGATGAAAAGTGTGTCGGAAAACGTTCATTAAAATTGCATTTATAATGGAGGGAAATAGTTGTGATTTTGCGAATACTTTACGGGAAAATACATTTGGGGAATACAATATATATATATAATTAGCTATGGCAGTAGCAAAAAAAATCAGAGAAAAGTAACTGAGAATACTGCAATAGTGTTGCAAGTGTGTGATTGTGTGTCTGTGTGTTTTTGTGTGCAAATGTTTGTTGGGGCGTGAAATATATATATATATATATGTGTATATATATATCAACTATATATCTAAATATCTAACTATATAATTCGTGGAGATACACACACTTTCTAATGCACAATACACAATACACAAAACACAATACACGATGCACATACATACGCTATAAACCTACACATACATAGCTTATATAACAGTTACGTTAGTTAGAACTAGGTTGGAGCTGCGGGTGGCAACGGAGTTGGCAACGCCTCCTCCTCCCGCAGGGCAGCGCATTGCTGTGGACGCCACTTCTAGCTCCAGAAGTCCATCATATTCACCAGCTTGCACTTCTTGAGCTCTAGCTTTGTGGGCCTCGCCCTAAGTCAAGCACGCCCAAAGATGGCTCGATCGGAAACATCACCGGTGGACTGTGAATGCGACATGGCCACATTAGCGCCAACGCCGCCCTGCTGGCTCACCCCACCCAAACCACTCTGCTGCCCAACAGCGATGCCATGGTGATGATGATGATGCGTTGCTGTCGCTATGGTTGCCGTGGAGGCATTGTGATGCGTGACATTGTGATGATTGTGCGCCAGCGTGCTGCTGCCATATTTGCTGCTGTTGCTGACGTTGCCACCGACACCAACAACGCTTGGGTTGCCATTCAGATGCTTGCGGGTCGCCGCCGAGGAGACGTGATGTGTGCTGCCGCTGCCAATGCCACCGTAGATGCGATGCAGCGAATACTGCTGCACCGATTCCAGATCCGAGACGCTCGACGTGATCTTCGAGCGGACCGCCACCTTCTGCATGCTGTTGTATTTGTCGCTGGCGCTCAGCTTGATGTCGGGCAGGTGTCCATTGGACTGGGCATGGGAGTGAGGCTGACGCGAACTGGAGCTGGACTTGGTCGTTATGGCTGCATTGCTCACAGCTGTGGTGCTCGTGATTGAGGCCACCACTGGCCCGCTGCCGGGCGAGATCTCTGCAAAGTTGTAGCAGGAGGATTTCTGGGAGACACTGTTCAGTCCGGAGCTCGAGGAGCTCGTGGACATGCGGCAACTGCGATGGCGACTCGACGCGGATGGCTGCAGGAACTCATGATGCGCCGCCTCATCCGGCGTCATACGCTCCGCAGGATCCCATTCCAAGCAACGCTGCAGAAAGTCAATAAAATACCGATCCTGACAGTGCAGTATCTGTGACAGAGACTTGCTGCCCGGCGCACGTTTCCTGCCCTTCGTATTCGTAATGCAACGTGGCGCATCTCTCGAATCGAAGAACAGGCGACGACGACGAGCCACCGAGATGAGCACCTTGGGTGGCAGACCCAGCACCTCCATAATGCAGGCCAGCTGCTCCACCTCGTTCTCGCCGGGAAACAGTGGGAAGCCCGTATATAGCTCAGCCAAAATGCAGCCTGCAACAGAGTAAAGATAAATTTAAGAGTTGTTGAGAGTATTGATTACGAAATGAATAAAAAGGGTTTTATGAAGAACACAGAAGCTAGCATTTTTGACTTTAATCTAAATCACTTTTAACAACACGGATGCCATCATTAACTATATTGTTTTTGTTGTAGGTGTAGGGTATTTAGTAGTCGAGCTAGTACTCTTGTGTATGTATCTATGTTGTGTAAATAACATTTTGCTGCAGTCATTTTGGTTGTCAGAGCAGCGCGTTGACCTTGACTCTTGGCTCACCCAGCTGCTGGGCCTGGCACGTGGCTGAACTTGACCACAGTTCAGTTGAGGTCAGTTCAATTGTGTTTAGTCTCCCTGGGACATTATTTATGTGCTGCTGTAAATTGTTTGAAATTTTAGCGCAATATTGATTCAATTAAAAGGACCACAGAAATTGCTTTGCTCAACTTGAACGGAAATTTGCTTTACTCTATGACTCATAGATGGGGATCAATCAGTTGTTAGTGGATTTTATAGAAAACCTTTTCCTATAATTACAAATACGTTTTATGTGCGCCTCTTAGTTTAACTTCTGTGTACTCACTATTAGCCTGTGCAGTCGTTTAAAGCTTTCAGGCTGTGCCACAAGTTCCATTACTTTCATCACTTGTGCCCATTTCCATAATTGAAAGTAGACTTTACCTCACTTTACGTTCTCTTTCAAGCCTTATGGCGTGCCCCGGTAGCTGTTTGTTAAAAAGTGTACCACATTATTCAACACGTAACCCATTTGCAAATGTGTGTTGCTGTGAGCACAGTTACTCAAATAACTAACCGCCCACATGAGCATGAGCTGGCAAGCAAGTATGGAAGTCAAGACACTGTCTAAAAATAAACATGCCTTGCTTTTATTGCTTTTATTAGAACCCACACAACAGTAACAACAAGAATATCTCACGTACTGTGTACATTTAATGAGTCTTTTGTGAGGAACTGAGCTGAGCTCACAATATTTTTCCTCCTGACCGGACGTGGTCGTAGTCGGAAATGGCCGCTAAAAGGATGTGCGGCGGGGAGACTGGGAGAGGGGGAGATGGGGTTGTGAGTACAGGAAGCAACGTTTCTAAGCGTTAAGGGTCAGGCAATATTATTGTATACATAAACTTCGAGTGGACCTCACTTGTTGAGTGCCACACCTCCTCCTTCACGGCCTTCACCTTCTCCTCCTCCTGCTCCTCGTATGCCCCCCGCTATCTCATTGTTCCAATTGTACGTGGCCTTAGGCTTCGAGCTGCCTGGTAGTCTGATAGCCTTATAGCCTCGTCGCCTGTTGCTGCTAATTGGCATAGTGCGTGTTCTTACACTTGGCTAGGCCACCAAACCCCTACCCCCCACCACCACGATTACCAGGAGTCGTTAGGGGTGCTAGTTTTCCACAATTCGTGTGCAGCGATTGAACATTGCCATTTGGCAGCTAAATACGTGAAGAATAATGAGCTTAGTGCAACTACTGCTCAACTGATATGGAAGTAATGAATACAGCAGTTTGAAGAGTATGGAAAATGGAGGAAAGCCGAGAATAATGGCTGGCATTAATTACAGTCTGTTGCTGAGATTATAATTGAAAGTGCCACAAGAAATGAGGGGAAAAACTGTAGCGTTTTCATTTCATAGACATATTGTTTTTTGACTGAACTTTGAGAATAGGAGAGGAGCTTCAAATGTGAAAAATTATTTATTCAATAAGCGTGCAGACTGTGGATCATGTCTAGTTAATAATTCAACGAATTCACTGAATTCCAATGCCTGTCAAACTGTCATTTGTATCCCTGACATATTTAACGACAACTGTCAATGGTTAAAGAAAAATTAAGGCTAACCATTCAAACCGCATGAGAACCATTGAATAGTCGCTTTACACATGCCAAATGTCAGCCGCATGACCCACAAAAAGGGAAACTGCCCGAGCCATCTATTGAAAGCAAGCACATGTTGTGTGTGGTTGGATATAAAAGTGTGTATAAAATATTAAAACGTTGCAAAGCGGTAAAGGGGCTACACCTACACGACACAAGCGCAGTTATTTATAGATGCAACGTGTGTGGCAATAAATTTGCCTGCCAAATGCAGGATGAAAACCATTTAAATGTTCTTTTTCATTTTCATTTTCATTTCCATTGCAACGAGGCCAAATGCGAGACATACATTTCCACACATCTATGGTGCAAAATGACTTTTAATTAAAATCAAGTTTCACTCCATGGACTCACCCAAGCTCCACATGTCAATGGCGGTGCCATATTGCAGTCCAAGTATCACCTCCGGGGAGCGATAGAATCTCGATTGGATGTATGTATAGATTTTCCGGTCCACATAGCACGAGCTGCCAAAATCGATGACTTTAATCGAGCTGCTGCCGCGTTGTTTCAGCAAAATGTTTTCCTATTTATAACAACAAAAAAACACTAATTTATTATACATCTAATTATGGTAAATGTGTAAGTTACTTACCGGCTTGAGATCACAGTGTATGATATTCTCTTTGTAGAGCAAACGCAGGCATTTCACAATCGAATTGCAGAAGCGTCGTATTAAACTCATGCTGAAACCATTATAGTTATTCTTCTTGATCAGCTCGTAGAGATTCAAACTGCAATGACATCGAATGACAGATAGAAACTGTTTAGTTAGAGTCACTACAATATGCGAGAATATGACTCAGAGCAACCCCATCAATTTGTTATTGTATTACTCCAAATTGGGTTCGAGTCAAAAAAATAAATAATAAAAAAACAGAAAAACAGAAAAAGACACTCCGAAAATATGTCGGCCGCTTAAAGCCCAAAGCGGCGCAACAACAACGACTACATAACATGCATTGAATTAATTTTCATTGCATGTCGCACAGAAATTTGGATATATGACGATAACAGGCAACAACTACAAAAACAGTACCGTCAACAAATTTGGCTGTGTTATGAGCGATGTCAAACCAGGTAACAGTAAAATTTGCGCAAAATGTCAGAGAATAAAATTTCTTAGAAATTGTACATTTAAAATATCTAGTTTCGGTTTCCGATTTCCAATATATTCCCAAGACTATCATATTTCTCAAAAATCATTTAAAAACCATCTACTTCAACTTGGAATGCGAATTAATTTTCCTGCAAATTGAAATTGTGAATATATTTAATTAGTTTATGTATTTTATGTGGTAATTATCAAATATGATTCGCTTTTCATTCATTTCAGTATTGATGATTTTGATTTATTTATTGCACTATCATTTCAAAAATGTTTCCACTGTACCTTTGAGCCGTTTGACTTGCGAGTGGCTTTGTGTCAACCCTTTTGCTATTTTTGTTTACAATTTGTACATTTCCATTCATCAGTTTTTCGATTTTTATTATACGTTTCGCATTCGCAGTTTCTGCAACTCCTGGCGATTAATTAACTGATAACGAGGTAGTTTTTCGATTCTTTTGTTTTGGCTTTTCGCAATGTCAGTGCAACCACTGCGTATATATAAATTGTGGTTGTTTTGTGGTTGTGGTTGGGTCAACACAATTTCCACACAGAGTGCTCAAGTTTTGTCAATTTTTGTGATTGCTGTCAGTTATTTATTCTTTTTTTTTTTTACGTTGTGAGTGATGAGTGTTTGACAGTGCACACAGTCCACACATCATAATTTCAGCACTTCATCCCTGCCTTTACTCGTGTTCATCACACAACAATATTGGCATACATTTCAGCTTATGTGCTCATATCATTTGATATGCTGTCGGCCAGCTGGGTACTTTTATTGAACTCACTCACTGACCGCATACATAGTTTTTGCTGCCATTTCCATTTCCGTTTCCGTTTGCCCCTGTCTCTGGCATAAGCTCTCTATATGAGTATTTGCCTGAATGTCATCTTCTGAGAATGCTATCAATAACTTCATCAGCAGCTCGAAAGCTTAGCTGATTTGACATGCTCTTATGAGATGCTTTGACCTAGATATATTCGAGCCAGAAAATGCTTCAAGTATTATCTGGCACCAGTAACGGCAACTGAGGACATCATCAGATACGGACATGCATACGTAAGGGTGCATTGGGATTTAATAGTTGTTTGTTCTGATGGGAATTCTGATCAAATTACAGCAAAGTTAGATTAACGAAGGCAACACTAAATCAAGAATGCACTCATAACAGAAAATATTAAATATAGAGTAATTATAAAAAACATTTATCAAATTTAAAGCTTAAGTTTGCAATATTGTTTACAACTCACGTTTACTATTCACATATTGTGTATTCTGCTGCAAACTTGCTTACTCTGATTATATAATAAATTGTTTTCCTGTTCGTTTTTTTTACTAACTCTTGGCTCAGAACCATATTTCCAACTCAACCACTCAAGTCAAAATTGCTTTTACTTGCAACAAGTCCATTTAATTTATAAAATTGTGGCTAGGATTTTAGCTCCGTTTCCAAATTAAGGCTGCTTTCGTCTCATATCAATTATGATGAGTGCTGCAAACATTTGGACAAGTTCATTTCATGTCTAACATCTTGTTTAGCGCTTAATCCAATTAGGAGACTTTTCTTGTGCTGTCAGGCGAGAAAGCCACAAGACCGTCAAACCTTCTCTTGTCGCTTTTTGCCCATTCTCTCAAAGTGCTGTTAAAGATGCCTAAAAGCATTTTAAGCTAATTGGGTTAAGCGGAGGTCTTGTCTCTTAACCAAAAATAAGCAAAGACTAACGCAATGTTAGAGACCTGAGCGAGGTCATAACGATTTTTAGTTTTTAGCCACATTTAAAGTGTCTGTCGCTTAAAGCCATTGTCTGCTGTTTGTTGTTATTGATTGACAGAGAGGCAGGCAACTGCATCATCGGCGCATAACAAACCAATAAGAAAATCATCAAAATGTCATAATTTCAATCGAGCGAACCAACAAAAACTAGAAGGGGCCCTGTGTCAAAAAGGCATATTATAACTGCATTATGACATGCCACATGCCCCCGATGACACTGCCAATGTCAAGAGAGAGAGAGAGAGAGAGAGAGAGAGAGAAAGAGAGACCCAACAAGAGAGTGAGAGGAAAAGTCTAACGTTGTTCGTGAACTTGAAAAACTATTGTTTGTTAGCAATTTTACTTTTGCGCTTTTCCTTTTGGCTTTTGCATCGTGCCAAAAATTCCTTTTGGTAATTTGATTGATTTGCCTACCAGCTTGCAACATGCAACTGTAACGAGCCACTAATGCAGGCATTTAGCGCACCAAAAATACACATCTACCCGAAAATCCAAAGAAATATTTAGGCATTGTCTAAGCAGAGCGCTGTTCGCAATAGTCACGGGTAACGCCCCCTATAAACAACTAGACAACATCAGCTTTGATCCAAAGTCAAAGATTTTGTGTTTTCTGTTTCAACATTAAATTTGTTTCGTTGCATACATTTTGGGGCCTGTCGGTTGGCCGCAAAATGAATTCGTTCCTCAACGCAAAATGGTGTCAACAAAGTTTTCTGCATTGCAATGAAATTGGTTTTCGGTTGCACAGAAAGTGAAAATGAAAAGTTTGCCGTAAAATACGTGAAAATTGATTGACAAGCGGCAGCAGCTGCTCTGACAAACTGGCGACAGTTTTCGAAAGCATTGTAGTGATTTAAATAATGCTGAGAATTCTTTAATTTACAGGTGGTACAAATGTACAAATGTTGCAACTACAATGTGTGCCTCTAGCCATAAGTAAAATTTACTGAGATAACTTCTCTTAACTCGCAGTGTTGGCAAAGATGGCTGCTTACATTTTGACAGCGAAATTGTTATCTCGAAAGGGAATATGTATTTTAAAGATTCTTCAGGATAGGGAGACAATCGAATACAAAAGTATCCTTGCGAATATTGACAGTACTCTTGCCTAGAATTGGTAATAGAATATTGTGCGTTTATCAACATTTGCTTCGCTCTTAAATTGCAAAATTAAAAGTAAAAAGATTATCTGCATTATCAAAACTTCTACAGTCCCATGGTGAATATGTCTAGGACCATAAGGCCATGGTCGCAAACTACCACAAGGACCATGATTTATCTGCCGACTGTCGACAAATGTGAAATCGAAAGTGACATCGGCTCAAGGTTGCGTCCATGTGCACATTTATATTCCACTCGCATTTTAATTAGTGAGCGGCATTTCGTTGCCTTTTTGTGTGGCATTTTTGTCGCTTAGCACAGCCCGACACAGAACGTTAAATGAAAAGCAAAATACTAGATATTAAATATTAAATATTTAAAGCTGTAACATTCATATAAAATACATGAAAAATGACTTTTTGGCCTTGGCCATTGCGTTTATATCACATTCTACTTATATATCTTTAGCTTGCAAATAGCAAATTTAATGCCTGGCAAATGTAAATTAGCAGTAATTACTGTGCCACGGCACGGCATAATAATAATTATAACAAGCTGCATCAACAACAACAACAACAACAAGAAGAAGAACGGCAACTACAAACAACAACTGGCAGCATGGGTTGTTTGCTGTCTATTCGCATTGCTGTCATTCCTCGCCCACGTTCTGTGTCGCCTTCGTCCTGGTAACTCAATCCCCAGGTTGCTCGCTCAGCTCACTTTGCAATCTACACGCTAAGTGCAAAAATTAATTTAGAAGAAAAACAATTTGCACAACCCGGTTCATTTGCATATATAGAACATGTGGGCGGCACCCCATCACGTTCTGTGTGCCATTTTTTAAATTAAAAATCTCAGACTGTCCGTCGACTGCTGTTCAGCAGCATGGCAAAATGGACAACCGCATTCATGCTGACATCCTGGCAGACATTTATCGAATATATATAAGCTGAGTAATGAAAATATACATTGTGAGCTAGTTTAGCTTAAGGTTGCCTTAATCACCTGACTATTTAGTCGATGGAGTGTAGAGTGCTTCACTTACAAAGATGAATCCATTAACTTTCACTTTCAATTCATGCCATTCCATTACAGATGTGCAAAATGTGTGAAATGTTGTCCACATCTTGAACAGATAAAGCCTTGATTATCTCATCATGAGCTTAGCGAATTGAAATAAATTCAAGACAAAGGCACAAAAATCTTGACACATTGCCCAAAATGAGCCACAACAACAGCGAACAGAGAGAAAATCAACAACAACACAGGGAAAGTGGGCGATATTGTTGTGCGAACTCTCTAGCGGCTTTCTGGTGAAATTTATGACCATGACACCCACAAAATGGCCAAACATGCACACGAAACCGAAACTTGGCCATGACAACATCAATTTGGCAACGTCATCTGCACAATATGCTGCATAGTTATGGCACTCAGTGTGACCATATCTTATGAGAAGGCAGCAGCAGCGAACGCTCTCTGTTGACTGTCTTTGGCAGTTTGGCAGCTCATTTTATCGCTGTCGGTGTAAATTACATGGCCCCGTATCTTTCCAGTAAGTTGCGGCAAATGGACTTTAGTGGCAGGGGACAGCAACGTCATGTTGCAGGTGGAAAATTATATATGTGTGCCTGTGTATTTGGTAAGCGCTGTCAGCGTCCCTTAGTCAAATAAAGCTCTATAAATGTGTGTCAGTGGGCGTCATCCAACCCTGACGTGATGAGCTCCAAGTGTTACATTAGATACAAGGATTATGTTTCACATATTTGCACTTATTCACATTGTAAAAATTTGCACAGTTTCCGTTGGTTTTTCCGCTTGTTAATTAGCTAATCAGCTTGTGGTTCCCTTTAGATGCGATGTGCCAGCTTTCTGTCCTAGCCCACATTCACGAAATGGCAATTAGAATTAGGTTAAGAGCTAACTGCACATGGCACAAAAAACATGTGGAATAAAATAGAAAATGCAGTGGAGGAGCAAAAATTGTGCTTAAAAGCTTTGTTTGTTATAATTAAAATGGTTGCATGGAGATTCATGATTGTCTAATTAGCACAAATTTGGGTGACAGTATGAAAAATATTTCATTTGACAATTCATTAAATAATTGCATCTTGATTATAACACATTCAATTAATTGCGAACTCTTTAAAATATGTTTTATATAAAATAGAATTATAGAAAAGATATAATAGATTATACAGACATGGTTATAAACGATTATAAAGTCATTAATTAACTGCTTTTCTATTTATTATCGAGTCTTTACTAACCGCTAATCCAGTCAGCAAACTAACTCAATTAGCAAGTTGCTACAAGAAAATGCTGAATTCAATTGCGTGCACGTAAATTTAATTACATAAAACTTAGCCACACAATTTGTTTACTCGTTCAAAACAAACTTTAAACTTGCCGCCAGCATTGTCAATGCAGCTGAGCAGCCCGCCCATCTACCCCGCCCATCCAGTCTCTTCCCCTCACTCTTTCCCCAAATCCATGGTCATTGCGAAAACTTTACCCAGTGGAACAAGTTCTTGTACAGGACGCAAAGTGAACACTTGAGAAACGATTTTGCGGCTAATTATACCCAAAAGGCAAAGAAATAATTAAAGTTTTGCATGGCAAACAAATTAATTTCTGTCGCTTAATCGATTAAATTAAAGCAAATATAGAAGAAAATCTCACGCACACCCACTCACTCGATGGCGTGCCTCTAATCCATTTAAAAGTTAAAATTATAAATCCGCAAAACTCGACTCAAAAATGTCGACTGGGCCGAGTTGAAAGCCGGCAACTTGTAGGCCTACAATTAAGACAAATTAGACGGAAATGTCAGGTAGTTGTGAGGGGCCCACGGCGGATACGGAAACGGATACAAGTTGAATGCCTAAAACCATGACCTTCAGCAAATTCTCCAAGTTTTGCATACAAGTTTTTTACCTAAACCATTCCTTACTCCATATAATACTTGCAGGCAATATATTTGCATCGCGTGTTAGTTGCCATATTTGCGTTGCCAGCTGTCTTAACTTTGACATAACCAGTCGGAGAAGGAGCAGTGTGCGGAGGCGGGGGGCGGGGGCATGCCGCACGCTCTCCTCGCCAATAAAATCAACGCCTTATGCAGGCGGCCGCCTGTCTATCAATTAGAGTGTGGCCCTATCGCATCGCAGTGCAAACAACAACAGGTAAATATAGACACACACTCAAACACACACACTCAAACACACAGACACACACACAAAGCCACACAAACGTGCATGCGCTTGCAGCACGCAGCAAAATGCGCTTTTCAACAGAGCACTCCACAGCCGCAGCCACCTCCACGTTCAGCCCCACTTCGCTGCGTGCCCCCGCATGTAGGCTACATAATATTTAAATTGAAATTGATAGCCAGGCGGCAGCAACTGCGGTTTGTTGTTCGCTGCATATGTGTGTTTGTGTGTTTGTGTGTGTGTGTGTGTGTGTGTGTGTGTGTGTGTGTCTTTATGTGTATGCGTGTGTGTGTGTGTGTGTGTGTGTGAGTGAGTACTGACATGCGAACAATTTAAATAGAAATTTATTTGTTTACTAGCGTCTGCTGGAAATTGCATTTAAATGGTATGCCAATTGATAAAGCTGCGATTTTATCGAACAACTTGAACATATGTGAAACTAAAAACAACAAAAGTTGATGTTATAGAATTTTGTAATATTTAAAATCCGGTTCAAATTACCATTATTCACATTTATAAAAGTTATCTCTCTAATAGCACATTAAATTTTAAAATATAATTGGGATTAAAATTATTAGTATTCATTTGTTTTTAAATATTTGAGAACAAGTTTGAGGTTATATCGGGCTAAAATTGGTGATTAAATTGATTAAATGTCGAGTATTAAACCTACAAAGCTAGAATGAGATTAGTAACTGATTCTGGCGAGAGGATAACAAGAATCTACATTGCTGTATTTCAATTATCTGCTTCAAAATGTGTTTATTTTTGTCAGATACAGCATAGAAAAGAATTGATTTGTTGCTGGTAGAAATACTGCTATAAATTATAAGCATAAAACTAAGTGCTATAAGCCAGCCACTTAGCAATGCACTATAAATTTTACGACGTATAAAACGATAAGTTAACGATAGAAAATACACACAGCAAAGATAATTCATTCAGTTACCCCTATAAAAATAAACTACAGCTGTAAAGCAATTAAAAATTACGAAAACCACTTGACGCTTACGGGCTTCTCTAATAAAGCACTACGAGATTTATGAGCAAATATAAACAAAATCAAAGAACAATAACGAGCTCTATAAAACAAAATATTGCATATGAGACACGCATTATATATTATACATATTAATCATTGGGTACATTTCTGAGAGGGCGCAGAGTTGGTTTTTCTGTTTTTTCTTTTTGGTTTTTTGAGCTGGAGAGGATCAAGGTAATGCGTGCTAGGCACTTGTCGGAGCCAGAAAGCGACTCGCATGAAAGTTAATAAAGATTGTCCCCTAATGGTTGAAGCGCACGCAAAGGGAATACAAAAGTTGCGAATAAATTTAATTGGCAGAAACATTCATAGAAATACGCAAGGAAAACGCGTTTCTAATTGAGGAGTTGACTATTAATATATATTATATATATTTATATATATGATGTATATACAGTAAATGTCGTGCCTGCCACTCGTCGCGGCAATGACGTCACAGATTATGCTGTGACGTTAATACAAGTCGATGTAAGCCAGTAGAAAAAGAAGCATATGAAACTCACCTCATTAGCTCGAAGGTAATGCACAAATGTCTACGGAAATATGTATAGTCCAGCATGTGTATTACGTTATGAGATCCATCGGCATCCTTTTCGCGCAACTCATCGAGTATGTTAAGCTCAACGACTGCCTGGTTGAGGAAACGCTTCTTGTTCCTTATGATTTTGATGGCAACGTGTGTGTTTGTCTTGTGATCAAGTGCTCTGATCACCTGGCCAAAGCTCCCCTTGCCAATCACCTCCAAGATCTCGTAGCGAAAGGCTATATGATCGTGTTCAATCTAGCAAAAGCAATACAAAGCGTTAAAGTATATATAAAGCATATTATATATATTATATAAGCTTACGATCTTGTAATTGCCATTATCATCGTCATAGCCCAAATTTGTGGTATTGGCTGTCGGGGCGGGTCTATTGTAGTTCTTGCTGGCGTGCTGGCCAAAATACCAGACCTCCTTGTACACCTTCAGCTCCTCACACTCCAGGTCAGTCAAATAATTGCGATATTTTTTGACCAGCTCTATAAGAGATGACAGCAGAACAATGATAAAACTATATTAATAGTATGTTTACACAATAAATTTAATTAAATTAAAATAGCATTGTCTACGTTTGTTTGTTATTCCACTCATAACTGTCTTGAAAACAACTCTTATTGTTTTTTAATTATGTATTCGAATAGTAGAATATAACTTTATGAAAGTTCTACTAACATCAGATCAATATCTGATCTTAATTTAGAAATATATGAAGGTATAAATACATATTTTTTAATCCCCAGCTATTTGTGTATTTTGACACTATGTAAAAGCACTCAGGAAAGTTGCCAAACTGAGATCCACTTCTCATTTTTGACGTTTGGCATAGACCATTTCGCGGTTTTGAGTGCTAGAGCAAAAGTAATTGAAAACTGAGCCTGCGCATGACCCTGACCTCGTTGCCATTTGTATATAAAATTAATTAATGCCCAGCCACCATCAGCGCTCCATCTGCCACGTAACGCTACGCTAAACCAAAGCAGTCAGCACAGAGGTCAGGGAGCGTGAGCTTTACTAATTCGCATTGGACGTCAGCGATGCGTATTAACCCAACGCGCTAAACACTGCAAATGTTGACAAGAGCCTGCACTGTGCTCCAATCCCTTCCCAACTTCCTACATTTTTTACGCACCTAAAGGTGTCATGGGCGTGTTGCATTTGAGCTCGGCACTGCCAGTGCTGCTTGCCGAGTTGCCCGAGCTGCCGCTGCCACTGCTGCTGTTTGATTTGGTCGAGGAGCCACGCTCGTTGCCACTGCTGCTGTTTGTGGTCGAGCAGGAGACCGGCGAGCCAAGGTTGTTGTTGTTGTTGTTGTTCATGTTACTGCCATTGCCATTCTGTGTTGTTGTCATCTCGTTAACATGATTGCTGCTGTTGTTGTTGTTGCTGTTAATGTGCCCATCGAGACGACGTCCGACATTGCACAACTGTGGCAAGTCCAGGCGCGAGCTGGACAGACGCACATCGCGCCGCAGCTTCTCGTTGTCCAATTGTATCTGTTGAAATTGCAGGAAAAATGTGTATTTACTTGAAAAATATTATAAATTAATAAAGTACATTTAAAAGCATTGCATCTTGCTATAAACCAAGAAAATATTTTTCGTATTTTTGCTGCATACTTTGTGGCATGCTTCTAAAAAGCAATTCTCTCTCAATTCGACTGCATAGTTTTATGGACTTTATGAATACAAGATATACTCCATTTGAAAGATGGGTAAATAAAAATCGTAACTATTTATGGGTATTTTAAATGTAAAAGTCGTAAAAATATTTCACCATATATTTTATCTGTCAACCTTGCTCCACATCTGAATTTTTCAACACCTAAGCCTTTATTGTCAAAAAATCTCCGGTGTCTTTAAATTATGTATATATAAAAGTTATCTTCTTTGCACATCAAGATATCGGCTTACCAAATGTTAAATGTAATTAATTATGGGCCATTTAATTTTTTAACTTTTTCAAATATGATTTTATGGCTTCTTACACGATATTCGTGTCTATTTTGTGCTTTTGCTGTTTCGCTTATCACATCAATCTTAAATCGTGAAAAAGTCCTTTCTCTCTCCCTACTCCTAGCAGCCCCACCCCCCCCCTTCCCGGTTCGGTTAAATTCTGAACAACTTACAGGCATTTCACATCGATCCAACATCGTGCTGAGCTATGTTTGTGTGCTGGTTGTGTGTGTGTGTGTGTGTGCGAGTGGGTGTCGAATTTCCAATGTTATCCAAAATGGCACAGTGAGCACTGTCGCCACAGAGTGCTGGTGCTTAGTGGTTGGTTGTTCTTGTGGAACCGGCCAAAGAGAATTATTATTGATAACCAGCTGCTGGGCAATATGTCTTCGGGCCGCACAACATTTGTGTGGTTATTGTTGTTTCTGTTGTTGTTCGGCGCAACTGCAAAAGAAAATAAAACAAAAATGTAAGTAAGATATGATAAAATACGGCATAAACACATTAATAATATGCTAAACTGTACGAACGGACGGACGGACGGACAGACGGACGGATGTCTTTAAGCCCTTGACTTTAACCCTTGATGTGCAGCGGCAGCGGCAGCGGGAGCGGCATATTGACGGTAACCAACCACAGGGAATACAAACAGCAAATATAACTGAATAATCGATGTGCATTCAAAGTACATACCATAAATAAAACGATAGCGTACTCCCCTAAAGAACAAAAAATAAAAAAAAAATCAACGACTTGTCAAGACATAACCATAACTAACTCAAAATCAAAAAGACCCCAAAAAAAGAAAGAGAGAAGTCGGCATTTAGCAGTTTTCATTGTCAAGGCGTCGCTTGTCGGCAAATCATCAAAACGCCCAAGACTTTATTAATATTTTTGTTATGCGAAGGGTTCGTAGCTAAGAACTTGCACTTATAGGCCGGCATACTTCCTTAACTGCCCTGCAACTTGGTAACCGGTAAAGTCATGACCAATTATTGCCCTTTTGTGTGCATGCCTCAGCTTGTTGCCCATTTGGTGTGTGCACTTTGTTGCGAGGGGCAGAGGCAGTGGCAAGTGTACGACCAACAACCAGGCTGTCAGTCAAATTTACGTTTCAGCAGTATTCATAATAAGCATAACCCTTTTTCTTAGGGAGCTGCAAACCCTAACAACCCCTTTTTTGTATTTGCTGTTGCAGCGCAAAAGTTTTGCTATGAATAGCAACATAATCAGTAAACAGTTGGGCAAATACACTGAGCGCAAACTAAATCACTCAGAAGGAAACATTAAGTGTCTTCCTACATATTGAAAAATCAATTTTATACTTCTTATTGATTTCAGCAAGCTAACACAAATTGTATTAATAATTAATGATATACATATATAATTTTGAATTTGTCTGTGTTTCAAGTAGTACATTAAATTATTAATTTTCATTTCTTTTGGACTGTTTAATTTCTGGCAGTGCAGCTAAATGTTTGCCACGTTTCAAGGTGCAACTGTGAGAGTTCGAATCATAACTTATCTACTTTCTATAGTTAACCTTTGACTTTAGCTCTTTTTTGAAGGTTTTCAACATGCCCTGCATTATTTATTGGCTTTTAAAAAGTTTTCTGTCATGAAATCATAATTTACAGCATTCGTTTTCGACGCTGACTTTTTGGATCAACTTGACAGTTGTTATGGCATCAGTGGGAGTTGGGCTTACTTTTTTTTTATTTTTTTTTTATTGGTGCCAGATTTTTTTTTTATTTATTTATATTTGGCAATATATATCGTTCGTTTTGTGTTTTGATGGCTGAAGTTTACAGCTGTCTATTAAATTTGATTTTTCATCGTCGTCGTTGTCGTCGTCGTCTGCTCTGAGCCTGTCATTAAATGCAGTTTTTGTGCTGGTTTATTTCAGTGGCTTTTCGCAATCTGTTGTATAGAAAGCGACGAGTTGGGCAACATAGAGAGCAAATGGCATATGCCAAGTCTGGTTGCAGTAGCTGGCTGGCTGGCTGGCTCGCTGGCCGCTTGAGTTTCACGTTGTGTGGCGTAATTTGATAAGCGAAAGTTTTTTGAACCCAGCCGCTCTCATATACAAGATACAAGATACAAGTTACAATTCAATCGCAAGGCTGTCATATTTTGACCAAAAATAGCTGTCAATGGTTTTAAGAAGGTGGGTCACATTCAAATGACAAAGATACAAGATACAATTGATCGAGCGTCACCTTATACTGTGACTTTGAGACAAAACTCTTTTCGCATTTGATTTCAATTGAAAATCAGCCTGTTTTTTTGGGGCTACAACACGTTTGACATTGCTCCGACGCCCACCAACTATTTATGAGTAAATGATTTTATTTGTTTGAGCATTTTGTATTAATTGTATGTGCATAAACGATATCTGCAATTTCTGTGAGTGGCATTGAAATTCAAATGTCAGTTTCAATGCTTTTTATTTATCTATTGCGCGCTCAAGTTTACGAAGATGTGTCAGCTATAGTTGCTGCGGCATTGTTTTTTATTGGCATTGAGGCTTTCGGTTTTTGATTCAGTTTTCGAAAAAAACAGACAACTGATATTGACTTATAGCAGACAGCAGTTTGTCAGATAATTCAATTTTTATCTGTTTATGTCCACTCAAGATGATTCCCATAAAATTCGATATTATAATTTATTCATTTATATAGCAATTAATTTACGCTGAGTGTGGCGCCGCTTTAGAAATCATTATTTAATTTCACCCATTGCATAACTCCTATCACACAATTGCTAACTAATTTACTTAGGGCTGCGTCCAACAGAGCCAAATCATTAAAACTAAATAAAAAGCCATTTATTTTAAATTTCGACGTCAAGTGTCGCAGACCCTAAGCTGAACACAGTCAGTAAATTGGTCGCTCAACGTAATTGAGTCGTTTCTCTTGAAACGAGAAAAAAACAATATACAGAAAAATATGAGATAAAACCACGAGGAGAAGGCAACTTTAATGGCAATAAAACTGTCAAGAAATTTATGTGCATAATTTGTCAATTTCCAAGCGAGTTGTATTTTGACAAGCGCAAGAAAATCATTTCAATCAACTCTCCAAAAACAAAATAACTACCAATAAAAATAATAATAATAATAATATTGTGCATCGTTTTTCAAGTGCATTTCGTTAAAGTCCAAACAGAAATTTACTTAATAAATGTCAATTGCCATTGTTATTGTTTTTTCTGTTTCTGTTTCTGTTTTCGTTTTGTTTTTTTCTTCTTCTTTTCAATGAGTAAGCGAAAAACAAAAACAACAAAAAAACATCGAAACGTGACATTTTGTTGTTGACTTTTGACACTTGCGATCATTTTTGGGCAGCCGGATGAAAGATTTATATACAATTTTACCGTTGACTCGGCGAATCTGAACCCGACTGAATCGCATTTATGTAAATAAACTTATTTTTGTTTTATTTTCATTAAAAAAACCTTGCTGCAAATGTCAAACTGAACTTAACGGGGAGTGTTGCCATTTAAGTATTTGACTACTTGGCAATTTACAAGTGACAATTGGGCTAGCAGGCAGATGTTTTCATACTCTAGCTGAGAATTCTCAGAACTTTTCTGAAGAGCTTTACATTACGTATGCCCCCCAAAATATCAAGAGCTGTCCATAACTCTATCAAAATTCTGGCTTTGATTTATTAAAATGTTTTCTTTTGATTTTTTGACGCCTCAAGTGCCAAGCCGGCATAAAGTTCTACCATGTGTAATGCAAAACGAATTGAAATTTAAATCATTCACATTTCTTTCATTGTTTCTTTTCGGACGTGTACACACTTGTTGCTCATAATGGGGCTTTAAGCCATCACGTCTAAGGTTTTTGAAAAGGTCTTTGTATTCATTATTTGATTGTTTCATTGATTTGCTTGCAAGCGATCCAAAAATGCCAAATATTTTGGACACATTCCTGTTTCAGGGGTAAAAAAACACATTAGGGGCCTTTGATCTTTCACGCATTGTTTTAAATTGTCAATTTTGACGTGCTCCAAATTTATAGCAAGTCAGAATGATAAACCGCATGCATCTCTGTGTAAATGTTAAGACTATACTAAGCATTTATGGCACATTTGTGTTGTACCGTAAAGTGCTATCAGTTTATAACCAGCCATAATGTTATGCCCACCTGACCTGTGTGTTGTGTGAGACATTTAACAGCATTTATTGTACTTAATTTATGGCAAGCCAGCAAATTAATTCCAATTGACATATTCACACCATTCATTGCACAAAACAAAAAAACAAAGCAATCACAATTTTAAGACTGAAATTTCGAGTAGAATCATTTTGCTGAGCTTAGCGAATTGGTAACTACTCAGGAATCTGTCAATTCGGAATACATTATGTCAATTTAAAACACTGTTCACTCTGATACAAACTTTCACCTAGCATGTTCAATTTGGCAAGAACTGTATATAAACAAGCCAATTTAGGGTTTTTTTTACATGAATTCAGTGCCTACCTTAATATGCCGTAATTGTATAGTATTTGCATTTGTGCATGCAAAACTCAAATTTCGTTCGTATTTCGATAAAAAATTTGGGACACATAACTCGGATGGGTGTTGAACTAACGCAACACACTTCAAATAGTTGAATATCCTAGAACTGACCCACGACAAGGGGGAACAGCACTTAATCATTTGGCACAGCACAGCCGGTTAAAGCGCAGCCAAAAACATCGTTTGTCACAAGCATTTGGCGTGGCCCAGAAAGAAAGGCGCCCTCAAAAAACCCGATCACAGAAATAGCAAAGAGCCGAGCCGAGCCGGGCCAGAGCGACATGCTATAAACATTTTTGTGTTACATTTAATTTGGCACTGGCACGGCACATAAGTGAAATTCATTTAGTTTTCATTATTACAAGAATTTTCATTATTATTATTATTTGGCAAAAGCAGGCCAGAAATCGCATGCCACATAATTTGGTTAAGCCCAGCAAAGCGTGGCAACAATTTTTGTGTTGCGGGCATTAACCAACTAACTAGCTAGCTAACTAACAAAGCTAGCTGCCGGTACAATACGCCTACACTCCCCTCTCCGTCTTCGCCACCTTTCCACTTCTAGCCACTATAAATGTGTGACCTCATAAACTATTGACCCAGTAACCCCAACCCCAAGTAATGACCTCAAGCAAAATGTCAACTAATCGCGTATAGATTTCAACTGCTTTATACAAATGCCAGCTCAGAGCGAAGCGGAAGTAGCCATCCAGCTATCGTTGTGCTTGAAAGAGCTTACGGAGAGTATGGAAGGTGGGCGGGGGCCAGGGGAATGGGGGTTGAGGAGACCAGACAAGTGTTAAGCTGCAGGTGCTTTTGGCAGCTGCTTTGCACCTTAAATGTACAGGCCTATGACAATGTCCCATAAGAATACCCATTACTATAAATAATCTAGATGAGTATAAAAATTGTCCAA